TCCGACCGGATCGAAGGAATTTTTTCTGAGTGTTCGATCTTTGTATTAATAATTATAATAAATTATTTTGTAGGAAATGAAACTATGGGCCGTATTCCAGAACTCTACTTAATGCTCAAGTCAGGATTTGAGCAAACTTGAGTATGATTTCAAAGCACTGAAAATACGACCCTAATGGCAAGGACTTGAGTATGATTTCTAGTGCTTTAAATCAAACTCAAATCCTGACTTGTAGAGTTCTGGAATACGACCCTATTTTTCCGGATTTAAATCGCGTATATTTGTTTTTTCAATCAAAACGACGTTTCGGGCCCTTTACAGGTCCCATGGTCACGGTTGACTGAGGTGGTACAGTCTTCAACCAGTTATGTCTAATATTGATGCAAACCACCCTATTTTTTCATTACAGTTACAATAGTTATTAATTAAATATCTTATTTTTAATTTTACAAAGAAAACATTCCAATTTACGCTACGTTAAGTTTTACAAATTATTTTATTGAATGAATTTTTATTAAGTTCAATTTATTATTAATTAATAATAGAAATTAGAATAAACTAAAACATATAAATTAGTACTGCAGTCTGTTTGGGATTTTTCATTAGAGGAAATACTGGATCCCAATCTGAAAAATATCCGGAAAAATAGTTTCATTTCCTATGTGTAACAATCGCGAGAACCTAAGAACTCGATAACAATTATTTTGGTTTTGTATGAATTTCGAGAAAACAAATATGCGTCATGTTTTGTAATACATTGCGGCTTTTACTTGACGCGATATATTTGTGATCCTTTGTTAATACGCCATGAATATCGAACGAACGCACTTTTGTATAATGCATTCAGTTTCGTGGTACGGCCGCTTGTACATTTCTTTGGCTAAATTTAACATTTATTTATGTATACGTTAGGCAACACTGCTCTTGATTCTAATCGATTTTGGAAACAAATTATGACCTTGGCAATATTATAAAAGTATTGTATGACGCTTTTGTTACAATGTTTAGTAACGTTTCGTTTTTTTTTTCAATTTTGTAGTATCTATTATCAGTAGTATCTGTTATTTCGATAATTTTTGCATCCCTAAATAGTTCTTGTGACGTCATAGTGGGTACAAAAAATTTAGCAAGCTTGGTTTTCATACAAATTGCTGTACTTGCGGCGTCTATCTAGATACATCTCTGTGGAAAGAGTGAATGCAATTGAAATGAGATCTCTCAAAAAAATATGTAATGTGCTGTTATGTGACAGAGTTGTGATCCGTGAACGATGTGGTTTGAAAAAGGATGTAGACAAAACTTGAAAATGGTTTGCTAAAGTCTGAATGGATGTAGATTAACCAAAGAAATATGTAGAGCTAACGTGGAAGGCTTAGGAACGGCCACGAAGAACATTCTCATTATTGGCTCAAATTGACAGTGTTCTTAAAAAGGTTGGGGTGCGTAATGAGCAGAATTTATTCATTCATTTATTTACCAATACTACTTATGAGCTTAATAAAGGATCTAACCTAATGCGTTAAGCTACATATTAAATATCTGCCTATAACCATATTAGTCTTACCTGTCTCCGTTCCGTAGTCTTAACTACTTCCTCCGAGGTCCTGGGTTCGATACCCGGGCCGGTAGAAATATACATTTCTCTCGTGAGTTTGGGTGTAATTGTGGTTGTGTATGTGTGTGTCCATTGCTGCATTTTTTTTACGATACTAATTAACTGAACGAATAAGTCGTATGCCTGGTTGTAAGCGACACGCCTGTCGGTCATTTTGATGATATAGTCATTTTGATACCGACCCGTTCGCCACCCTGAGACATATGTTGACAAGTCCCGTGTGCCTGTAATTTCACCAGCACCCTTGCCCTTCAAAACCGGAACACAGTAATGCTGACATTACTGCTTGGCGGCAGAAATAGGTAAGGTGGCAGTTCTGCCCTGGACGAAAAGAATATGTCTACATTATTTGCCATTAAATGGAGAATGTGAATAAGAGGGTATGTATGAAAAATTTGAAGAATGTTCAAGCAAGAGAGGTTTGTCAGGATCGTGCCCTCCAGTTTGGACCAGTTTGGAGGGAGAGTCCCCACATAACCCCTCTCTGACCCCTGAGTCTCCCTGGGCTCAGGGGTATCTATAAAGATTCCCCGTGGCGATTGATAGTCTCTGCCTACCCCAACGTATTAGTATTTTTTTCGAAATAGCGCTTTCGTCCTTAGATTTGAACAGCGGAAATCTAAGGGCGAAAGCGCCGTTTCGAAAAAATTTTCAGATGAGAATGTTTTAAATTTTAACGACTGGTTTAAAATACTTACATCCAATCGAGTTCTTAAGTTTTCGCAATTGTTACACATAGGAAATACAACTATTTTTCAACAGTCAAGGGTAAAGTCAGTACAGTCAGTAAAGGGTTCGAAACGTCGGTTTCTTTGAAAAAATAAATATACACGATTTAAATCCGGAAAAATAGTTTTACTTGCATCCTGTTTGAAAATTCCATTTTGGTTTTAATTATGTGTACGTTTTAAAATTGAATTTAAAACAGAGCGTAAATATTTCAAAACCGTCGTGAAAAACTAAAACAGGCTCCTCTGACTTTTTTTTTTAAATGGCGCTTTTGTTCTTTCTTCAAAACACCGACGATATAATAATTCAGGTGTCTAATCTCTGCCTACCCGATCCATGAGTGATGGTATGTACGTATATAAACGATATCCTGTTGCAGGCTCAATCAAGAAGTGCGGCTACAGCGGCCCGCCGCCGCTCCCGGACAAGAAACCTGCGGAAACCTTCCAAGCGCGGCTCAAATGCAGGTACTTATAGAGTTTCCTATAGAATTTGGTGTTTATGAGAATAGAGACGTGTCACTTCTAGCACAAATGCAGAATACAGTGCTGCTAGATACGACACGTATTGTTTGCTGGTTCTTGAACTTGAAGCCTTGACCCCGGCCGACTGTGGCCTTGCTGAAGAATACCGCTTCTCCCTAGTAAACATTATATAGTTATCTGTTATGTAAGGCTGCAGAGTTGTTGTTTGACGCAAGCGCTTGTATTGTAACCTGACCAAGTAAAGAATTCTAATATTAAAAAATACATTCCTGAGCGTAACCTGAAAGAAACACAGTTGAACAAACAGTTTTAATAAACAAAATTAGTTATCGTTGTCAATTTAATGTTAGCAATAATAAAAATAAAATGTACCAACGGATTTATATTACATAAATAATGTACGACAAATCGCGTAGTTGAACGTGTCATGTTTTTTTTTCATCGAAAGCGAAAGTTATGTGCACCACAGTCCATCGTCAAGTACGAGTTTCAAACTCGGTTTTGCGCGTGGATTTCTAATGAGAAAAAAGCCTTCCCGACCTAGTGAGATGAAAAATTAGTTTTTTAGGCCATAGGAGAGGCTAGAATCTAAAATTGATACACACAGCAACAATAATAATAACACTTAGTAAACAGACTGAAGTCCAACTGGGCAAAGAGATAGGCCTCTATTTTAGAGAGCCATTGAGTTGTGCGTATCAAAACGTTAATTCCTTCATTTGTGTTACAGACACTGCCACGAGTGGTACCTGGAGAGCGCGAACCGCGCAGGCGCATGCGAGTTCGCGCCGGACTGCTTCAAGTCCTGCATCGACGCCGTCTCCTGCATCAAGTGCGCGCAGGTTCGTTATTGCATTTTTTAATACTCCGTGTTTGAATATGGAAGATTGCTTGGGTCACGTCACTAGTTGGTGTTGACAACTTTTTTATTGTTTCCTAAATCATGGTGTTATAATTTTTCTTTTATAATACGTATAAAAATCCATGTCTTGTGACGTCAGAGTCCCCAGTAGCGCCCTGAAAACCGTACGCACTTGGGCGCCCTTAGTTTAGTATAGTTTATTTTAATGAGTTAAGGACCTACAGCAGTGTTGCCAGGTCTACTGTTTTTCCAGTAGATCTACTGTTTTTGGCCGATATCTACTGTTATTTAACGAAAACCTACTGTTTTTTACAAATTATTTGAGTTTTCACTTTTTTAAACATTCTTGACGGCTTTTTTAGATTTTATGAATCGTCTTTTCAATTTACGAAGTCTTTTTTATGTTTTTGCAATGAAAATGTAGAGCACGTTAAATAAAACCACAGACAGCAAATGGTCCATAGTCCGTTGCATAATAATCGTAATTCCGTTTCCGTTCGACGTTAAGTACGACGCTTGCTCTTGCCAAGGTAAGTATTAAATTAATACTTGCCAGTGAAGTCCATCAGCTCTCAACTACAGGGTCCTTTAAAGAAAATTGTGGACGTTGGTTTCCCCAAGTGTTTCAGCGTGTACTCGTGCAGATTCACACCCACAGCATTCTGGCGGATGTCTCCAGTAGCGTTCTGTAGGGCTAGAACGACAGGGCGTGAATTGCGCCAGAGCGACTTAGGGTCGTATTCTAGAACTCTACTCAATGCTCAAGTCAGGATTGCAATGGAAACACAAGCACTGGAAATACGACCCTAATGGCAAGGACTTGTGTATGATTTTCAGTGCTCACTGCAATACTCAAGTCCTGACTTGAGTATTGAGTAGAGTTCTGGAATACGACCCATAAACGCGGGATCTCTATGCAAGAAAAACAGGATCTCACACTTTGTTTTTTTAATTTTTTTTTATTATACTAAGTAACGGGATGAAGAAGTCGTGCGCCTGATGGTAAGCGACACGCCTATCCGTAGCGGTTGCCGTGCCACTATGCCACTAAGAGCTTTAAATCGCAAAGATCTTAGGGGCGCTGCCAGTGCGCCCGTCACCCTGACACATAAAATTGCCATGTGCCTGTAATTTCACCAGCACCCTTACCCTTCCAAACCGGAACGCAGTAATGATCACATTACCGCTTGGCGGCAGAACTAGATAAGGTAACAGTATTACCCTGGACGAACTCTTTCACAAGGAGCTCTACTGCTACAAATGTCACTTTACTGAACCAAGGTCCTTGCTCTTTTCGACCCCTCCATCGTACAGTATCGTATGTCGAAATTGCCAAGTTTACAGGGGAGCGTTTTGAAGTTCTGAATTCACTGAAACGAGCATAACACGTGACTTTAGCATTTCTCAGTTTTATTTGGAAAAGCTCGTTACTCATATAAAGTATTATAAAATCCTGGATATCGGTTAGATAATCCATGATGATCTATTTGATGATCACTCTTTCAGTGAATTCAGAACTCTAAAGCGCTCCCCTGTAAACTTGGCAATTTCGACAAACGATACTTTACGCAGGAGGGGTCGTTTTAGGCGTCCTCAGGCCCCGCTACCTGTACGGTAGCGGAATCAAGGTCGTCAATAGCAGCGATGGAACTCGGCAGTCACTCGAGTTGACGCGATTGCTGACTCGAGTTGCAACTCGAGTTGACTCGACTCGGTGTCTGACAGAGCAATCGCGAGTCGCGAGTAGCGAGAGCGATACAGCGTGTATTCTAACTGCCTCCGTGGCCTAACGGTTACCATAGTGGACTGCCACGCAGAGGTCCCAGTTTTGATTGAAATATTTGAATGGCCTACATTTATTTCTCTCGTGAGTTTGAGTGTAATTTGTGGTTGTCTGTGTGTGTGTCCATGGCACCCGCGACACAGGGTTACCCTAGGCTATGTTGAGTGTGTGCGTTATTTACTTATCCAAATTTGAACTCGAACCGACGATTCACTGAGTTGGGCACGGTCGGCCGGCCGATCGCTATAGGTGGGTAGTACTGAAAAAATCACAGTAATCAGCCTTCAAATAGTATCCTCGTGACTTTTTAAGAATGTACGACGTTCCAAAATCACACTTCCTCCGTTCTACCAATTGTCTCCATCACTCACATCATCACGTACGTTGTATTTGATAACAAAATCATGCGCCATCTCTTTCTGTAGAGACTGGCGACTGCGCTACTTGTTATACTTCGCTTTTATATTTAAATTCTAATTATGAACCAAGAAATAATTAGATAACTAATAAGATAACTGAAATACAAATAAGATAATTGTACAAATAGCGTATTTAATAGCGATTTGTCACTGTGATTTTATTTTGTAATTGGAACGGTAGTCACGGCGATCGAAATGTAACGCTTTTCGCCATGTCTACCGACCACGACTCGCGCGTGCTCCGAAGGTCGCCGAAACGATCGCTGTATGAATGAAGTATTTGGCTTGGCGGGGCGGGTACCAAACCGTGTTAGGTCAAGTTCCTAAAAAAGTGCCTCGAGTTGACTCGTTGTGGGGGTAACTCGAGTTAATCGCTTTAAATAAATAACTCGACTTGCTCATTGAGGTTTGTAGCATCTGAACCGGGGTCGGTTTAAAGTTGCAACGGAACCCGAATGAACCCAAATGCGAGTATCGCGTGATCCTGGGATTGCATGGCATGCAGGTTCAGTTGCACCTCGAGAGATTGATCTATTCCACCAAGTTCAACTAGGTACATATTTTCAAAAAGTTGAACTTATTGGACGAAATTCATCCTGTTTGTTCAACTTCCAATTATTTAAATAATAGCTCAATGTATAATGACTGTTATCGACGCAAATGTTCCAAAAACAAAGGTACAGTTTGTATTAATAATTATAACAAACTAGTGGAGTAATTTCACAAAAAAATAATTGAATATCAATTCAATAAAAATTTAATGATCTACGTTAAATTTTTAACGTCTGAACCCGACTTAATTTCGGGTAGCGCTAATCAGTGGCCAACTTCAAAATGTCAGTGTTAAAAAAAGTGATGTTAGTGTATAGTGCACGTAAAATAAGTATCTTAACAGTAACTGTAATAACAATAGATCTTTTACATTCATAGTGTTGATGAATTGTTCATATGTGTTGCAGTTTTCAGGAACAAAAGAAAGTAGATTTTTAAAATGAGATTAAACATTATTTTCAAAAATCAGCCGATTTAAATGGATTTTTTATTTTGCTATTTATAGAAAGAGCGAAACTTATAACGGTGTTACCATGAAAATGAGCAATATAGGTCACAAAAGTTCTTCCTGTCTTTACAGTACCAATATATAAAATGAAAGAAAAATGTTGAACACTAGGAACAATACTCATAAAAATGGAAGTAAATTAATTTGCTACTCCGCGAACTCAATGAAGGCTAAATCGTGCAAAATAGCTGCGCTTGTGTTGAATATTTTTTCATGCAGTTGATTTTCCCATCCTCCATACACATAAAATTAAAAAAATAAATAACACAAGCACAACTACAGTCACAAACACCACCACCAAAAAATATTCTCGATTCTGTTCGCGGAGAAGCAAATTAATTTACTTCTATTTTTATTACCATGGATTTCCGCAAAGTAACACCTGAATATATTAACAACACTCATGTTTACAACTATAACGCGAAATGTATTTATTTAATCGTACTGATTTTGTGATATATTGTTGCAGTGCATGCTGTACCACTGCATGTCGGACTCTGAAGGCGAGTACGTGAGCCGGCCTTGCTCCTGTGCACCCGCTGATCACGCCTGCGCAAAGCGGTCAGTACCTTTTTGATTAGGGGCGATTGCTCTAAGATGTGTTTATTTCGTTTTCAATCGGTCCGACCTAACTGCAGTCCATAATGCCATGATTAGGAGGTGCAGGCTGTGTATTACGGCCGGCAGCCGCCATTTTGAATATGTACTGTGAAAAATGTAAAATAATTGCAATAGTTCTAAAAAATAAGAGTTTTGATTTTCAAATATTTTATTTCTTAATTTGAAGTTAGAAACCACTGCCACGAGTGGCACAAACCATTTTGGACACTAGCAAAAGATCCCTTTTAATGCTGTAATATCAACCTGTTTGATGAAATTTTGAATAAACCCATAACTAAAGTAGATAGGTACGTAATTTGTTGTTTAGTAATAAGATGAATAAGTAGACAAGTTATTACAATTAAGTGCAGATGCGGTGTTATACGTTTTCAATTTTTTTAACACTTATTCAAGTAATTTAACACTTGGTGGGAATTTAATTTGATACTTAAATCATAAAGAGCGGATTGATTTAAGATAATAAAAAGGAAAAGAAGGATAGGAGAAGACGATTGCGTTTGAGTACAGTCGCGTCCAAAGGTGTTAAAACGTAAAAATCGCAAAGTGCATAAAATTTTTAATTAAAAAAAAACCGTTGGGAATATTACCATAGTACCATGATGAAATTGCCTCCGTGGCCGAACGGTTAACACTGCCACGCAGAGGTCCCAGGTTCGATTCCCGGGCCGGGAGAAATATTTATTTATCTCGTGAGTGTGGGTGTAATTTGTGGTTGTCTACGTGTGCGCGTAACCTCCTTGAATATAAGGACGGTGGCGTCGGTATTTAGAACGGAGAGAGTGAGGCTAGTTGGAATCGGCCCGGCAGGTGGGTGGGGCTCGCGCTGCTGAGCCTGGTGGTGCCGTGCCTGTGCTGCTACCTGCCGCTGGCGGGCGCGCGGGCGGCGGCGCGCGCGGCGCGGCTGGCCGGCGGACAGCACGCGCCCGCGCAGCCGCCGCCGCGCAAGTAGGGCTCGCTCGCCACGGACCGCCAGGCCCGTGGCCCCCCGGCGCGGCCCGTGCCCGAGATCCGGGTCACCGCCAGCGCCGACAGCGCCGACAGCGCGGACGTCGTCGTGCACCCGCCGACGCCGCACCCGCTCGACGGCGACCTGCAGTACATCGACGACTCCGAGTGAACTCGCGCGCGCGACGCTCGATCGCGACCGGGCTGAACGCGTCGCGGCTGCCATATCGGGCGTAAATAACGCTGTTTTTACATATCACAGTGTAAGCGCGCGCGTCCTTCGCTCCCGCAGTTTCTACTAAATTTGTCCCTAATCGTATATTATATTAATAAACTATAGTTCATAGTTCTTTCGTTTGACGTGCGCCATTCCGCACAATATAAATTCAACTTTCGACGTTGTAAACCAAAACGGAATAAGGTTTAGTTTTCAATGTAAAATATTGATGGTTTATATGCGACCTAGTGTACCAATGAAGATTAAAAAAACGAATATATACGCGCATTGTCTATGAGAAACCTCTCAACAAATAGTTGTCTATACAAAGTGAACTATTGACTACTTCAATTTAGAAATTATTAGTAATGGTTCTCGTATTCCGGACGTATTTGAAAACGTTGGGTTACTGCAAGTTAGGGTGTCGGTTTACATAATTGAAATTCTAAATGTAATGTTGTAGCACAAATATTAAAACACAAATAAAAATAGAGCTACAAAGAAAGTATATGATATATATTTATTTCCGACATTGAGTGGAAAAATTATAAGAGACAAGAATAGAAAGAACACACAGACATTTTGTGTATATATACATATATGTACACGTAATTCTTAACATAAAATAATTTGAATATTCTTGTCACTAAAGAGTGACATGACTTTTAGATCCGTCAAGTTAGTTCAAATTGCGATAGATAGAATCGATATCATCAAAGCCCAATCGGCAGTGACTACTGATGTTCTCTTGTCAAAAATAACTCTGATTTGGCATTATCTCAACAAAACACAGAGTTAATATTTTAATTCAGTCACGTTTTTAGTACATGCGCTGTATACAAATGTCATAATGCAAAGAATTGCATACGAGGAGGTTATATATTATGCAGAAATATTCTCCATTTATAATTAATATTGGATTATTTCCAGCAAGACGTCATGCATGTGTGATCGGTGATCGCACAATGGGAAAGTGGCTTTAGGGTGGCAATTCTGACATGTACTTAACTAAAACTAAACCTGACAGAATACATACTCTTGTGTCGTAAACTGTGGTCGCAAAATGCGATATTGGACCTTCGTTCCTGGCAAGAATATTGTAATGTATTTTTGACGTTTGGAATGACAGATGTAAGTAATTGAACTTGTAACTGTCATTCCTTCATGTCAAAATTGTTCCATTACGAGAATAATAAAAGTCTTGTTTGTATATGTCAGAATTACCTGTAAGTCTTCAACGTTAGTTGTAAGTTTAATGTTTTTATTATAATATTATTAAAGCATTACAACAAGTTGCAAGCGTGGAATGGACAAAGTGGACAGTTTTAATCATGCATTTGTGTGATGCGTACAGTGAGTGCAGTGTCAAATATATTTTGCGTAAAATTGTGATACAGATGTGCGGGAACGCTGGCAGTGAGTTCTAGTGCGCAAAGACCATTTGGATGTGGTAAAGACGGACTAAAGTACCTATTAAAGAGTGTTCCTAATAGGATCTCTCTTGAGGTACACACGACCACACTTTGAAGTATACAGACTGTCAATATTACCAATTTGAACGTGAATGAAGTAACTAAAATTTTCAAATGGATGTTTTGTCAGCTTGTATAGTATGAAAGTGTGAAGCACATCGCTATTTGACGTATTGAGATCGTCGTCGGTGTATAATATACAGACTATTTACGGTGGTTGAAAATTGGCAACATGGATGTAATAGGAAATCAGTGTTGCCAATTATTAATGGAGAACTAACTAAAATTTTCGATGTTTTTGTGCGAATTTTCGAGAATTCGCTGTGGACTGCTTTTTTGCCGAAATTAAAAATTTTTGTATACAAAAAAACAAAAAAGAATCTATGTATTGTGCCATAAAGATTATAATGTTGTTTCCATAGTTTTACCGATTTCTTTAGTTGAAAGTTTTTTGTAAGTCTTCCATGACACGCGCTATTTTTGTTGCGCCTTTAGTAATTTGTTGTTAATATTTGCTTAAAATAATTACTGCGGTATTTAACATAAACATTGGTGTCGGTGAGCATTTTAAGATGCAAACGAATTTGACTAAGCTGAAATTACTTTTGCTGCACGTATAAAACATAGCGTTGGCGTTTGGTGAATAATTTGTTACGACGTCATCGCGATGTCATTTGAAATGTCACTTGTGTGACGATATTGTTTTGGATTAGTCATGTTAGTGAAAGTTTACGAGCGACATCACTTTCTTTGAATTGTCAAAATTGTTAAATCTTTAGATCTGCTATAATATCTAAGTTGAGTCTATAGTCCATGTGACTAGCTGACTAAAGTACTTGGTTGCGTGCGAATTAGAAATCCGTTTTTGTGTTGTTGTTGTGTTTAAATTGAAAATTAAAATTTTATAATTATTAATGTCCATGACAAGTTGTTTATTGTGAACTTTAACATATCTCACTGTATTTATGCTTCTCATTAAAATGCACTTTATTTTTAACTTATTAAAGATGGAAATTGACTATTCTGCGGAGCGTCTTGCAACACAATTGTGTCATATGAAGATGATAAAAATCGCACACTTTGGCGCAATGTGTATGTCTGCAGTGCACCCGCGCAGGACAGTGAATAGCAATCTTTAGGTTTTGATATAAGTTTAAAATTAAGTAACTCGAAATTTAATATTTAGCAGTTTTAATTTTTTTGTCAACTTAGAATTATTTTAAAAATTACGGGTAGTAATTGTTACCTAGAATTTAAAGTCGTTTTTTTACAAATTTTCTGATTTCACTTAAAAAAAAGTATTTTGCAATTTTTTTCTATTTAAGAACGTTAATGTATGTAATATTTATTAGTATTAACTTCGTAATGTCACTAAAGAACAAAAAATCATATTTATTACATATAGTGTTAATTATAGGTCGTAGAACCTTGTGGAAAGCATAGAATCTTCATTTACCTAACAAGTAACGGTGAACTATGAACATTTTTCCATAAGGTCCCATATCGACTATTAGATAATATCAATATCGATTCTTTTGTGTACAAATGTAATCACTAAATTGACAGAAATAAAAATATACTTGCCATTTTTAATTTAATAGAGAGTGAAATGTGTGGTAATATTTTTAATTCTGTCAAACTTAGTATTCATTTTACATTTATGCAGAATCGAATCATCATTGTATGTTGAAAAGTTTTAAACAATACCTATATGAATGTTCACGTGGAAAAAAATACATTTAAATTCGAAATAGTTTATAAGTATTATTATATTTAAAAGTATAATTATATAAAAAAATAATCACACTTTTTCACCTTTTCTCGATCAGAAATTCGAATAAAATTTAAATAAAAATCAATAGAACCGTCTCCATATTTAAACTATTACGGTTATTATAGTAACTCTAATGACGGTTGTTTTATTTTGACAGCGCCATCTAGTAAGCACATCAGGTAGCTAACATTGACAAAATTCGAAATCAGAAATGCGAGCCGGGTGCGTAAAACGCCTTGTGTACTCCAAAAGCACGTCGCGATTTTAGTGCTCGCCTTGTATTCGACTTGATGAAGATTTTTGTCGCATAAAAGTCGTATTTGCGACTTCATTTTTTAATAGCAAAGTTCATACCCTCACAGACATACTGGTACGTTTGAAATATCCATTTGACAAATGCATCGTTTAATATGATTGATGCAATTGCCATACTAACTTGATGGTGTGCAGCTATAAACCCTATCACAGGAATAACGCTACGCTATTATATATTCGATTATGGTGTATAAATCCTATTTATTTGCCATAAAATAAATTTAAAAAATCTAGTCTCACGAACAATATTTTTTTAATCATTGCCATGTTACTCGTTCAGTTATTTAAAAAAAATGACCAACCGTTTTTGTATGTTTGTAAAAATAAGATTGATCACGAAATAATTAAGGTTGTCTACTACTTAGAGATCTGGTTCCTGTTCGACAAAGTTTTTTCGACAAAAAGTAATAATAAAAATATTGGCGTATAAAATATAAAATCTGTAAGATTTTTGTAAGAATGGGCTCACTTGCGGAAATAATACACGATTTTGTATTTTCGATTTTTTTTGCAGTTACGATTTAATTATCGTGACTGTGAATATAAATTACGGGAACTAACGAATAGAAGGGGTTTTAGAAAATCTCTCATAAATAAAAAAACAGTTTGGTATTTTTAAAATTACAGGCAAAGATCTCTACAGTGCATATGAAAACCTAAATTTATTTCGTCGGCTGTTACTCCGCATTCAGAAAAAAATAATCAAAACATTTTGAATATTGTATTTGTAAGTAAATGTAATAAGTGTTTGATTATATTTAACTTATAAGAAAACTGTATTTTAACTTTTTTTAAAACAACTCTTAAAAATCACGAAGAATTTGTGAAATTTCTGTACATTATTTTTTGTGGAAACAATGTCATCTAGAAATATAAAGAGACTATGTATTTACTGTAGGAAATTTTAAAATTTCTATTTTTAAGATTAAAAGTATCAATGTTTTAGCATCTTATATACAGCATATTAATGTATAAGAAAAACTGGAATTTTCAAAACCAAAAAATTATAACCACAAAAAAGCGGTACACCGCATTACTTGGTTGTCTAATATTAAATGTATTAAAATATGAAATAAATAAACGTAATAAAAAATATTTTGACTTTTTATTTTGTTACCGTTTGATAGTCAGTTAATAAACAATTGAAATTACAAAAATAAAGTTTTATAATATCGCAACCTTAATAAAATTGACGAATAAAGGCCCATTTAGATGGAGAGAGTTTCTCGTCTCGAAGATACGATTATCGAAAGAATATAAAAAACTTTCCTCGTCTAAACATTTGCGATTATCGACCGTCCATGTGAGCGATAATCTCCTCGCCTTTCAATATTGAACGTCTCCGTGTAAACAGAACTCGAAAGCAAAAATCGTATTTCGAGTTTCTGTGCCAGCCGTTTCTACCACGAGTGCAGCGCGCGAGGGTGTTTTGATTATCACTGCTTTTCTAAGACAAGAATTAATGGAACAAGAGCGAAAAAAAAATTTCAAATAACGGTGAGTGAGTGAGTGCCTCTGTGGTCGAATATAGCGTGGGCAATATAGTATTTAGGGTGCTCTCGTAACGAATATGGCACTCCTTTCTA